GCATTGATTTCTGGTTCATTATTTTATTGTACTAAATATGACTGTGGGAGCTCTGGTGGCGTAGTGCCTAAGGCATTTGACTGCTGAGCAGAAGGCTGGCGGTTCAAACCCACCAGCCTCTCCTGGGAAGGAAGGTTGGGCAATCTACTTCCGTAGTGATACCGTCTCAGAAACCCAAGGAGGGGTCGCTATGAGTTGGGTCCGACTTGACAGCACATAACAACAACAATGCTATAACAATAGGCAGATTACTAATGTCTCTAAACTTTTCATTTTCTCTCATGGAAAATGGGGATAATAAAATCTACCCCACCTACCGTAACAGGAAATATAAATACATAGCACAAGTTTTATAAAGTTTACTAACTAAATGTTATTTTTAAAATGATGTTTCAGAGAAATTAGGTAAATATTTAGAACTCTATCAAAGGGCAAGTAACTAACTGTAAGCAGCCTTTTTCTTAAACATTCAATGAAACTATCAGAACAGAAACTGTCGTATTTTAAACATCTCAGTAATATTTTAAACATTTATTTTATCTTTATAGAATACTCCCTTTTGAATTAACTTCTGAAACAGTATTCAAGATTGTTTTACAACTATCAAAACTAGACTTGACTAATGGCTTTAGTAGTGGCTTTATGATACAGATAACATCATTTCTAAAACACAACTATTATTTGATTTACTTGTGTACACACAAGAGGTTTAAAGGGATAGGAGGATGCTGCTCTCATTCTCAAGAGACTCTTTATAGTTTCCTCTCTTGACACTCAAAACTCTAGCTCAGTAATGTACTAATGGTGTGTTTGCTCTTGAACATACTCAAATAATTTATATTACAGTCATTTGCCCTTAACTGAAGAGTATTACATACTGTTCTCTTTTCCATGAAGCTACTGAGAAAATCATCTATTTCAGTTTTTCCCTCCAAGAAATTTTCAGCAATATTATCAGATTCTTCCTCAGCTTCATGTGCGGCTACTTTCAATCTTGCCTGAAGGGCACTTGCACTACAGCTCTGAAAAAGAAAATCAAGCACTCTTAGTTTTTAAGGAAAACTCCTCAAAGGGAAAGAAAACGAAGTTCAGGTGGGGAGAAACCATTCATTATATGCCTTACAAGGCCTTTTTGCAGAACTCTGCTACCGTACAATGCCCCATAGAGATCTTCTATTGTTGGATATAGGGGTGGAAACTTAACACATGAGAAACCAATCCACTGGCTAGAAACTATTAAATGAGAAACAGGGCAAATCATTGTCCTTTGCTGGGGATTCAGGAATTAGAACATTGTGGTAGTCACTCTCTATGATGGCTCCCAATTGTCCCTACTTCCTGGTATTCCTGCCCTTATGTATTCCCTCCCCTTGAGTGTGGGCTCTACCTTGTGTACAGAATATGACAAAAGGAAGGGGATATCACTTTTGAGATTAAGTTTCAAAAAGACTGAAGTTTCTGTCTTGTGTGCCAGCTCTTGAGCTCTCTCTTGTTAATTTGCTCTGAGAGAACCCAGCTGTCATGTTGAGTTGCCCTATGGAGGGTCCCACATAGTAAGGAATTTAGCAAAGTCCGTGGCCAACAATTAGCGAAGAACTGAGGCTCTCAGTCCAGTAGCCCACAAGGGAATGAACCTTGTTAACCATGAGTTAACTTGGAAGTGGATCCTCTCCTAATCAAGCCTCAGATGAGAAACTATAATAGCCCCAGCTGAGATTCTGATTGCAGCCTTAAGGCCAAGGCACTTAGCTGAGCCATGTTTGTATTCCTGATTCACAGAATTTATGATATAATAAACATTTTGTTGTTTTAGACCAAGTTTTGGGGTAATACATTATACAGCAACAGATAAATAATGTAATTACTGACAGACTGGGTCAGGTGGTAGTGGTCATTTGAGTTAAGAAGTCATGATGTGGAAATGAAGCTGACTCCACACTGGCCATTTGCGTTAAATATAAGTAAATACAAAGTAGCAGAGATAAAATAGGTGGTCCCTGAAATGTATGGTTTCAGATTATCCTTCTCATAACGTCTCAAACAACAACTCACTGCTGTCAAGTTGAATCCTTGGGTTTCTGAGGTGGTATCTCTATGGAAGTAGATCACCCAGTCTTCCTTCTGAGGAGTAGCTGGTGGGTTTGAACTGCCAGCCTTCTGGTTAGCAGTCATATGCCTTAGGCACTACAATACCAGAGCTCCCCTAATAAGGTCTAATTGAACTTAATTTCCTACCCTTGGATTCAGTACGTATTACCATTATATATTTATTTTTCAATCTACCCTTCATGATGAGATAGCTGTACTCAATTTGTATTCTTTGCAAATACATTACCCTATATTTTTTCCCAACCCATTACTCATATACACAGTCTATTTCAGAACTGAAGATGACTGCATAGAACTACTGTTCTCTCCCTACCAATCTACCATACTGTTTTAAATAATGAGGTTTTATAGTGCATACTGATACTGGGAAAGAGAAGCATTTCTCATTTTATCTTTTTGTCCATACTCTTCCTGACTATTTTATCCCATTTAGTCATGAGTGAACTTAAGAATAAATCTGCTAAGATTAAAAAGAACACTCTTGGGGTTTTAAATGGAACTGTATTAAATTTATAGATATTTTGAGAAGAATGAAATCTTTATGATACCATATATTTCAGTCCATGAATATGTTATGTTACTCCAGTTAAGTCTTTTTTTTTTTTTTCACGCAGTGAAGTTTTCACTTCATTGGGTTTTAACTTTAGTTCTAAGCATTTTACAGTTTTGTTGCTATTTTAAATTAGTTTCAACTTCATTTTGCACTAGTAATTATTGGAATGCAGGGGGAAAATGTGTCTCAGTGCTCTGCAAGTTTTGCCTCTGTTTACTTTTGATAGACAATCACTGCATCCTTCTTTTATACTATACTTTTTTTTTTTCTTTTGAAAAAAATCTTGTTGCAGTGGCTAGAACCTCCCAAGGAATGTTAAACAGCAGTATTAGCGAGGCATCACTATGTTATTCTTACTGTTACTGGGATCGTGGTAATGTTTATTTATTAAGTGTGATGTTTGCTGTTGATTTCTAATATTCTTACTCAAATTAATTAATTAATTTCCATTCTTAGTTTACTTAGAATTTGCCTAAGGAATGATGGCTATTGTGAAAAGCCTCTTCAACATCTACTAAATGCTAATGTGCATTTAAGAGTATTTCCGTTGGTTCTCTAGGATTTTCTGAGAAGAGCAGGGGAGGACTGTTTAGGTTAGACTTTTGACTATGGTATTTTCTATCTACATGACATCAAGGAAGTTTTCATTATAAAGCTGAGTTCTCCTTTACTATCATTTTTTGCTACAGTTGTTTTGTTTCTATTTTATGTTTCATTGCCTTGGCTTCACCTTTCAGAATTCCTGCTTTGAAAGGAAATGGAATATCATTAAGTATGATGTTAGTTATTGGTATGAGATATAAGGTTCTTTCCTTCTATTCTCTTTTTATTTTTTCAGAAATATGGGTTGAATTATGTAAAATATCTTGTTGTTTATCATATAATTGTGTTTCTGGTATATAAGCTATTAGTTGTAGTAATTACACTTTAGTTTTTTAATCTGTTAACTTTCAACTTACGATATTTATAAATATACAAGTGAGTCTAAAGTTGAAATTTTTTGTCTGTAGGTTTTATTACAAAGATTACACTGATATCATGTAAGTTATTTGAGGGGGATTTTCATATTTTTCTATGTCCTAGAACCAAGTACATTCTTGCATGAGCATAAATGATTTATGCCTCATATTTGAGAGCTGTGTTTATCTACTTTTTTAGCAGTATATGTCTTAAAAGTCAGACATCTAACAAACACTTTCTGATAACAGTGCAAGTGAAATGTGGTTCACATACAGTAAGATTAAAAATTCTTATGGAAAAGGAAAAGAGCTAAATAATCCTACCTCACTAAGTTCATGCTGTCTTTGCATCTTCTTTTCAAAGGTAGATTTCATTTGTGTAAGTAATTCATACTAAAAGATAAATAAAAATGCCGTTTTATTTTATTTTTAAATTGCATAATTTTTTTATTCAAAATAATAACAACTAACTCACCTTATCTAAAACAGTTTGCCTTTTAGCTTCCAAGCTGGGCTCCAAAAGGAGATTTTTTCCTGCAAGATAAATCTCTGGTTTATTTCTAGATAAAGATCACATTTGTCACCAGAAATTTGAACTGAAGCAAGGGAAGACATACTTGCTAGCTCCTCAATACTTTTTACCAAATCGTCCTTGTCAGTAATGATTTGTTTTAGTTGAGGCAAAGTCACAAACTGTTCTAATAATAGCTCCTCTTGCTCATTCATATCTGTGAGTTGTGACACACTAGAAACACAACAGAAAAAAAAGTTGTTAATAAAAATCAATCATCTTTTTTCCCCATGATGATAAATAGTAATGAGTTTTCAGTTTTATCCAATTGATAGGGTTCTAAATAATTTTTTAAGTATCTATTTTTATATATAAATCTTAAGAAGGTTAATTTAACCTTAATAGCAAATAAAATATCAACCACAATGGAACATAAAATAGTCTGTATTCTTACAGAATCCGTAGAAGTGAATTCTGGTCCAATGGATATACTGATGTTATCTACTTTCTTTAAAATCACAACTGTGGGGAAGTTTTCACAATTATACAGTGGCCTGAAATTAACAATAAGAAGATCTACTTAACTCAGGTAAAGATAAGATGAAACTAGTGCTCTCCATTATTCAACTGAGTCTTCTTAAAACAGGAGAGCAATAATATAAGTATTTTGTTCTTTTGTTTTTTTAATATCATTGCTTTAGAATATCACTTATTTCTTCAATTTCCTGATAAGAACCAGGCTTACTGATATGTAAAATTTAAGCTATAAATGTTTTCAAAGCATATGCTGAAATTATGAATAATACAGTAAATTCAAAAGAGCTAAAGTCACAGACTTTTCTCCCTTTTCCTTTCATTATATGTGTTGATGAGAGGGAAAAAGAATTGCAAAGAAACTGGATATTGTAATACGGCTTATAAAAATCCTTTACCAAAGACTGGTCTTTCTATTCAAGGCAGTGCCTGATTTTAACAGTATGTTGGTGATGATGTAGCCAATAAAATTTTCCAAGACTCAGCAAGGTAAATAGTCTTTGCTTTTGTTTGGTGTCAAACTACTACTACAAACTACTAAGACTAGGGTACATGAATAGCCATAACAATCTTCCAATTTTAATGAATGTACCTATTTAGCTAACAGGAATGGGACTGTCACAATAAAAGATACGTATGTGTTTGTGTGCATTTCTGTGTGGTACTTATAGTGAGAAAAAAATATATTTCTTTTTTTTAAAAAAAGAAATAATAGAAGGTTAAATAGATATTTATAGGGAGAAGGAGAGGACTGGGAGAGCATAGGGATGGAAGCCAAACCTTCTCAATCTATCTTTCAGTTTTGACCATGGAACCATATAAAAGTCTTACATAATTAAAATATGAAGTTGAAAACAAAAACAAAACCTTCTCCCACTGAGTCGATTCTGACTCATGGTGACCCCCAATGGATTTCCGAGGCAGTAAATCTTTATTAAAGGAGATTGCCCAATCTTCCTTCTGTGGAAGTGACTAGTGGGTTTGAACCACCAACCTTCTGGTTAACAGTTAAATGCTTTAGGCACTGTGCCACCAGAGCTCCTTAAAATATGAAGTTATAGAAAGAAAAAACAAAGCAGCCTTAAAATTCAAAGCAGATGGAATTAAATGAACCTGTTTTTGTTAAGTATAATCATACAGAGAATTATTTGAAGTAACTTTTAAAATAGTATTTTGCTGTACATCTCTGATAGAATATATCCTAAAAAATAAAACCACACACACACAAAAAAAATGTAACCTGCATTCAATAATTTCAGTAATAACATTAGTATTCTTAATCTTAAAAACAAACAAAACCATAGAGCCTTTCAGAAAAATGGCTGATTCTAGATCTGGGAAAAGACATGTTCATGATGAGCCCACAGTTGTCTTTGTTTTGTCACATAGGACACAGAAGTCAACTTGAAGAGTTTCCTATTGACTGTAGATAAGACAGTTTATGCATCAAAAAGAATAATGTCTGCAGTGGACTGAAACACATTAAATAAACAAACAAAAACTCACCCATCAGAAACACCTTTTCAGTGTGCTAATGTACCAATGCATTATTTTGAAAAGGGAAAAAGGGAAAAAGGTCAAGTATTTATTTTTGCCTTTCCCTACAAGTATATTTTAGTATAAGTAAATAGTTGATTAAAGAAAGTTCTTTGTAGAAGAATTTTGGTTAATAAATACAGAGAAATGACAGAATCAAAATATCATATTCACAACCCTTAATCAAATAATGGATGGTCAATGGTTTTGGGTGTTTCAACCTGAGCTGATCTGAATCTCATAAAAATTGGGCAACCAGATGTCACTGCTGCCTAATGTGATACAAAAAGAAGCTTTGGTGACAGAGTGGTTAAAGCACCTGGCTGCTAACCAAAAGGTCAGTCATTTAAACCCTCAAGCTGCTCTGTGGGAGAGAGATGAAGCAGTCTGCTTTTGTTAAGATTTACAGCCTTGGAAGCCCTATGAGGTAGTTCTGGTCTGTCCTACAGAGTCACTATTAGTCAGAATCAACTTGATAGCTGTGGCTTTAGGTTCGGTTAATTTGATATACTAGAAATAGCCACTAATTATGATGTAAATCTTTTTGCCAAAAGAATCAAACCTAATCTAATCAAGCCTCTAGATCTAACCACAAGTAGCAAGATATGTGGGAAACAGAGGGACATCTAATTATTAATAGAGAATGCAATCAGGCAAAATCAGGAGACAGGAAATTCTATAGAAGAAATAACCAATTTCTTCAATAAATATATTTATTATTTATAAATAATAATTTATTATTAATAACATATATACACACATATTCATATATAAAAATAAACATAAATATATAAATTAAAAGGTAAAGAGAAATGGTTAGCAATTAAAGAACTTAAGAGTTATAGCATCCAAATGCAATGTGTGGACTTTGTTTTAAATCCTGATTCAAACAACCCCAAAATAAAAAAATATTATTAAGCCAATGGACAAATGAATCATCCAGAGCAAAGAAGAATGAAGAAAACCAAAGATGCATGGAAACAATTATTCCAGGGGACTAGTGGACCATGCAAACCTCAGCCTGTATGACCATGAGACCAAAAGAACTAGATGGTGCCCAGCTACCACTATCAACCACTTGGAAAGGAATCAGTACAGGAGATCCTAGATAGAGTGGGAGAACAATGTGGAACAAAAGTCAGAATCATAAAAAAGACTAGGTTTACTGATCTGATAGTCTGGTGAGACCCCCTAGACTATGGCCCCTAGTTACCCTTCAGGTCTGGAAACTGAATTCACTCCTGTGGCTTGCAACCAATCAGTAGAAAGGCTTATAAGGTGACATTAACATTTACATCAGGTAGACACATTCCTTAGAATGCTTAATCATGGGAGAACAGAAGAGCAGTATTTACACAGGGAGAAAGCTCAAGGGACAGGAATGCATAGGAAAGAAGGACACAGGGAAGAGGTAACTACAGAGAGCAAGTGGGAGGAGAGCTGTTACACTATGGGGAGGAAGTTAAGTCAACATCATGAAACAAAATGTGTATTAACTGCTATATGGAAAATGAAATTGCTCTGTGAACTTTCACCCAAATCACAGTAAATTTTTTTAAAAAAGACAATGAATAAATTAGATTACATTAAGGAATTATTAATTTTGTTTGGTATAACAATGATATTGATTACAATTATGGCAAAAAAAAAAAGTCTGGTATCTACTTTACAGTAATCCTGACCCACATCCATACCTCATCCTCTCACTCCACAAATAAATAAATAAATAGATAATAAATCAATAAAATGGGTAGAAGGTATATGAAGAAAGATGTACAAAAAGGATAATAACTACTGATGCTGAATGATGGCTGTGTGGAGGCTTATTATACTACTGTTTGCCTTTGTATATTTTTGACATTTCTATAATAACTTAAAAAAGAGAAAGTGAAAGAGAGAAGGTACTATTCATCTTTATCAATATAAAATGATGTATAGTAAGAATTACTGAAGCTCTAGAATCAAAGAGCTTTAAGTTAATTTAACCAAAGTCTGTTTCTTCTTTTATGAAATAGGAACTATAATAGCACCTACCTCATGGGGTTGTTGTAAACATTACAATACAAATGAACCCCGAACATACATTTGGCATACTGTAAGCATTAATTTGTTGTTGTTGTTATGTGCCGTTGAGTCATCTCATAGCAACCCCTCCTTGGGTTTGTGAGGCAGTGTCTCTATGGAAGTAGATTTCCCATAGAGTGGCTGGTGGGTTTGAACTGCCAACCTTCTGGTTAGTTAGCAGTCAAGTGCCTTAGGCATTATGCCACCAGAGCTCCCAATTTGTTATTATTAACCAAAAATATTAATTATGCTATTTCCTAAAAATGATTATAAAACACTAAGTCAAATAAGTAAGATTTCTCATGGGTAGCTGGTTATATATCCCTGGTGGGATATATCTTACAGCCAAAATGAACTGCAAAAGGGGAAGTGGGGTGTGGCTGGGGGTGGGGGAGAGACTGCAAAAACAAACTTTTAACTGTATTCAATAGTGTTAGTAATAATAGCTTTATAGGTACTGTAAATTTTCAACGGGGGTACAAAGGATGCAGTGCTTCCCCAAATTGAGTGGTCACAAAACACTTTTTCATGGAGCACCTCAGAGGACCACTCTTTCATGAAAAATGCTACCTTTACTTGAATGTTACAAACTTATCTGCCATAAATTTTAATATAGCTTTGGCTCTGTAAAAACACCTGATAATAATTTATGTTAACTTTAGTCTGTTTCTCAACACACAACATTATGTTAATCAAACAATGAAAAGGTCTAAGGTAGGCCAAGATAGTATTTCAAATCTGCAGTAATAGTATATTCAAATAATTTCCCAAGAATGTAAGCCATATGAGAAAAAGACCTTGTTATTTTGGTAACTATTATATCATATATACATACTAGTCACTCAACAAATAAAATCTACAAGACCTAAAACTGATTTATAAAAAATTTCCATTAAGACAATAACGATAAAAGAATAGGGAAGACTTGAAAACTCTTTTTATTCAATATATGAAAATGATCTGTTGTACTGAAAAATAAAATAGACAATGAATGCTAACTTTACTCTTCATGTTTTTTACCTCAGTTCTGAGAGTTCTGGAAATGCATCAGGGACATCAGGCATCTTATAACCCAAACCATTTTGGCTTATCTAAAAAGAGTTTTAAATAGTATTAAATTTCAAAAAATCTCTGTGACTGCTCTCATTTACTTACAAAAATAAGTTTATACGTACTACTACCCGTGACTACTTTCTTACATTTTCACTGTTGCACTTCACATTTTCTTTACTTTCCCCTTTTTCCTTCAGTCTATTTTTTTTCACTGTAATTTTGTATATACAGGGTCTTTTTTTTGCTGGGAGAGGTAGCGAGGAACATAGAGTACCTACATTACCTTACTTTTTTTTAGCAAGTATATGACTATAAAATAAATCTTATATGTATCTGTGACAATGTGGAGAATTATCTGTGGATTTCACTTATGCATATGAATAATTAGCTCAAGTGAAAAGCATTAGTATAAAAAAATAAATAATTTGGTAAAAATGTGAATAATTAAATACCCTAGTTACATGTGACAATAGAATAGGTGAGGAATAGAGTATATACTCTGTTTGAATATAGATGATGCTTTACAATTAAGGACACTTGAAAAGGTTTCCTGTAGTTTGTTTATACTACTAATTTGTAGCTCATTGATATAACATTCATTAACACAATGAAAAAATAGCTTAGAAAAACAAAAGTGCACTTATGTCCATTTTCTAAATGATTACAAATTCTAACATTAGTGTTGTTAGATGTAATAAGGTTTTACAGTATTTGAACATTACTGTGGGTGCCATTCACTAAGGGTTGAAAATGAAAGCTTTTAAATCCCTTTATATGTTTTATCCCACATGGCAACAGTGACCAGCTTAACTGAAGAACACAATGTTATTTACACCAATGGAATACCTGAAGCCCTTAGCAGGATAAAGCATACCCTTCACAATATAATAACTGCTTCTCCTATACAATCATTTGTGATACCTATCCAATGGCCAGAGAGATTTATTATAGATAGATCGATAAATATACCATCTGCTTTATGTCTTGTGTCTTTATCAATACTCTTAACTCTTTAAAGAATGCCATATATACTATCTCCTTGTCATTCTAGCAAATTCACAACTACTATTCAAATCCTGATCCTCAAAAACATGAATTCATTCATTCATGCTTTCACTTACCCTCTCATTTTTACTGAGCACCTACCAAGTATCAGGTATGGTCTGAGGAACTAGGGATAAAGTGGTAAAAAAAAAAAAATAATCATTTTGATTGTTTGTTTGATTCTCTACTCGTTCTACTTCAGTACCTGTGAGCATTGCTAGTCCCTCAACTGTGTCCACTGTGTGATTCTGGACTCTACAGGAAGTTCCCAATTTGCAATTATTTGCTTATACATTGTTCTCCTCTACCAGTTAGTCACTCAGGTTGAAAATTGTGATTTAATCTTTTTCTCTTTTGTGCCTAACTTAAGGGCTGGCATGATGCAGGCATAAGATAAATGTTTATTAACTGAATGTTTCAAAGGTAAAAAATACAGATACCCAAAGATACCAACCGGTGCTGAAGTATCTGTCGTGGGAATGGGTAATGGCAGATTTGAAAGGATACCAAATGAAGGAGCAGCAGGTTTGGCTGTGGTATAACTTGTGGCTGAAGAAACAGTGTCAGCAACAGATACAGAAGTGATAGTCCGGTTAGCTTCTTGTGGAGGATACGGAGGAAGAAATGAAAAACCCTGAGAAGCGTAAGGAGGCAGTCCACCTGGGTTACTGTATAGGCTAAAGAGAAAGAAAGAAGAAAGATTAGATCAGATTTTAGAGGTAAAATTTGTAAAGTTATTCCTAAATTGTTCTGAATAGCAATAGTCCTACATAACAGATGGAATTTGTTTACAGCAGGTAATACTTGTTAAACTTATATAACTGAATTAAATCTTATATAAATTGGAGAAATATACACCCCCAAAGAAAAAGAATTGTGGTTTCCATGAAAAAGAAGATGAATGCTTTAAAAAGCATACAATCAAGTTGCAGATTGGATAAGAAAACACAACCCATCCATATGCTGCCTACAAGAGACACACCTTAGAGATAATGACAAAAACAGA